GCAATGGATCGGCTCTGCCGCCCGAGCTCCTTTTCGCATCTTCCCTCACATTCACACTTTTCTTGAGGATCGGCTCTGCCGTCCGCTTCTTTAATTTCGCTTGTCACACAAGTGCGCATCAGAAAGGGTGACTATCTCGTTACAATAGATATCCTCCAAGTTGTTTATGTGGAAAATCTGGGTCCCCTCTGGTCCCCCCCTCGGCACCCTCCTCCCCCGATGTGTTATGTAGCGCAAGGTCGGTGTGAAGAGTTCCCCCGTACTGGGGTCTATAGCGCTCCAGGGTATTGGGATCAGGGGTGGCAATTGCAATTGTCCGATAGAGTGGTCCTGGACAATTGTGTTTGTGCAGCAGGTTTGTAACTGCAATTGTCCAGAAGAGCTGTTTTGGACAATTGAAGTTGTTTTATCACCATTATAACCCTTCTTCAGCTACAATTGTCCGGAAGCGCACACACCCTCGACCAACGCACTTCCGGCACGAACACCGTGCGCTCCCCCGTCCTGTCTCCCCCCAGCACACATACTGCATACACGCGCATCCGCAGGCACACATACGCACGCAGCCGCACACGCACCTACACACGCGCACACAAGCACACACGCGCACACACGCATACAGGCCGCGCGCAACACCTGACCAAATCAACCAGAGTCAACCACTCAATACAATCTACTCATGGCAACCATATGGGCAACTAAACAGCCCAGCGACGGCCCCCCCAAGTGCACGCAGTCCGCGTTGCATGAAAATCCGTCTACGTGTGCACGCAAGCTCAGAGAAGCGGCGCTTCCTGTTTCTGTCCGGGTAGGTTCCCTCCTTTATGGCCGTTTCGTTCGAGACATCCTATAACAAATGGGATCTTGAAGGACTTGTTTTAAGACACTTTACGTCAAAAGTGAGGCTCCCGCTCGAGACATCCTCGAAAAAGCGAGATCTCCAGGGATCTCGCGAATTCGTCGAAATCTTAAACATGAGGCTCTCGCTCGAGACATCCTCGAAACAATGGGATAGTGGACGAGCTGCTTCGAGACGTCTTCAGTTCAAACTGGGGCTTTCGCTCGAGACATCCTCGAACAACGGTGATATGCAGGGAGTTTGCGAAACGAGTCTGTCCGAGAAGAGCTCAAGAGGACTCCAAGACTGTCCAAGAATGCTCCAAGACGGTCCAAGATACCCTATCCGCATCATCGCCATTCTCATCATGATCATCATGCTCATCACCAAGACGGTCCAAGAGGGGCTCAAGAGGGCTCCCAGAATCTCCAAGAGCACTGCAAGACGGTCCAAGATACCCTTCCTCGTCTTCATCATCATCCTCGTCATCACCACTATCATCACCATCGTCGTCATCATCATCACATTGTCATCATCCTCGTTAGCGTCATCACGGTGGCGGGATGTACAGAACGCTAGTATATGTATATAGCATGATGCATCATGACACTACATCTTCCTCCTGCTTTCCCCTTTCCTCTTCACTTTGTCCTGGGCCACTGAATCGCCATATAACGTTGTCCGTGGCCACGGAGTCGCCATAGAACTTTTTTAAACGGCCATGCGGGTTAAAACGGCCACGTGGGTTAAAACGGCCACGCGGGTTAAAACGGCCACGCTTGATCTAGGTAGCGTTCCACGGCCAAGCGGGTTAAAACGACCATGCGGGTTAAAACGGACGCCCACCGTACTCCCCCCCCCCGCCCGCCCGCCCAGCACACACCCGGCACGCACACCGCACACCCCCCGTCCCGCCCCCCCCCAGAACACATACTGCATACACGCTCTCACGCAGGCACGCATACGCACACAGCCGCACACGCACCTGCACACGCACACACGAGCACACACACGCACACACGCATACAGGCCACGCGCAGCACCTGACCAACCCAACTAGAGGCAACCACTCAACACAAGCTACTCATGGCAACCATCTGGGCGTTTAGGGAAGCCCAGCGACGAGAATCCCCATGTGCACACATTCCATGTTTTGTGCAGAGCCGTGCGCGTGCGCACGCAAGCTCAGAGAAGCGGCGCTTCCCGTTCTTGTCCGGAAAGGTTCCCCCTAAAACGGCCGTTTCGCTTATGGCATCCTCCGAAAATGGAGACGTTGGAGGCTATCGTTTTGCTACAAATTTGCATCTCGCTCGGGACATCCTCCAAAAATGGGGATCTCGAAATCGCTCGCCTGATCTTCGGATCCTCGGAAATGGGCGTTTCGCCCGAGACATCCTCGAACAAATGGGATGCCGACAGAGCTCTTGTACGGCGTCTTTTGCTAAACATGGGCGTTTCGCTAGAGACATCCTCCAAGCATCGGGATCTCGAAATCGCTCCCCTAATTTCGGATCCTCGAACATTGGCGTTTTGCCGGAGACATCCTCAAACAAATGGGATGCCGACAGAGCTCTTGTAAGTAATCTTTTCGGAGCGATCTCGGATGATCCCCAAGATGGCCCAAGAAGCGAAACTATTGAAAAACCCACGTGTTTTTAACAGTTTCGTTGAACAATCAGCGTTTCGCTCGAGACATCCTCCAAAAAGTGCCTTCGGACGGGTCCTCGAAGCCATCTGGTCTCCTCC